TTCAATTTTCAAGTTTACTTTGTTTAACCAGGTGAGAACTCAAGAGACCAGGATAATCCCATTTGCAAGAATGACCTGCGGTATTCGTCTGCCAGTAGGGGGCAATTATTGCTACGTGTGGATACACCCAAATGTTTTGATGAAAGCTTCAAATTTAACAGATTTAGACGCTGAATCTGACACATAATGGCCTACTGTTGTGAATAACGTCAGGTGATCTTTAACGTCCACTGGTGGATGATGGTGATGTTGGTGGCAGTGGGGTAATGGTAGTGGGGTAATGGTAGTGGGAACGTATGTTACGGGTGTGTGGTATTGATGCTGGTGGGGTGTCATGGATTTTGGGGGTAAACAGCGATCGGAAAGTGATGGTCATTGTGTTTGTGGGGAGAGGTGTGATGGTGTTGGGGTTGAATGGTGCTGGTAATGGAGCTAAGGAGGGGGTGATTGTGGAGTTGGCTGGGAAATGGTGATGGTGGTGGTCATAGGAAGGAGTAATTGTGGAAGCAGTGATGGTTGAGGTGGGAGGGGTGATAGTGGTAGTTTAAAGCGATTATGGTGGTAAAGCTGGGAGGGTGATAGCAGTGGATGAAGGTGGAGGTGAGAGGGCGATGAAGGTGGGAGGGTGATGACAATGGATTGTGGTGGCGATGTTGATGGGATGGATGGTGGTTGGTGGTGTTGGTGGTGGTAGAGTTAACCCTGAGGCCTTGACTGCAGCTCTCGAGGCAAGCAGCAGCAAAAGGGAGAAGCAGCAGCGGCAGCATCGTTGGGGCGGGGTGGACCACAATAATCAAGGGGAGAAGAAGTAACATCATTAGCAAGCGGAGCGAGGGGTTAAGATGCAGAGCAAGCAGAAGCAGCGAGACAGCGACAGAGAGAGATCGCGCATATGGGGAACAGCAAACACGAAGCCTGGATACTGGAGCAAATTTCCTGATCGGCAGAGAAGCAACAGAGAAGCAAGGGAGGAGGAGAAGCAACAGCAGCAGCAGCTGGAGGCTCTTTGTAGAGAAAGCCTCATTGACATGGGTCCCACTGCAGCAGCAGCAGCAGCCTGCCCTGACTCTGTGCTATACATAGCGTGCATGTGTCGTGCACCTCATTCACCATGGCTGTCATCTCCCATTGTCCCTCCTGCACTGTGTGTGTGTAGACTGTGGTGTGGTTCTTGTTCTGTGTGTGTAGACTGTGGCGTGGTTCTTGTTCTGTGTGTGTAGACTGTGGCGTGGTTCTTGTTTTGTGTGTGTAGACTGTGGCGTGGTTCTTGTTCTGTGTGTGTAGACTGTGGCGTGGTTCTTGTTCTGTGTGTGTAGACTGTGGCGTGGTTCTTGTTCTGTGTGTGTAGACTGTGGTGTGGTTCTTGTTCTGTGTGTGTAGACTGTGGCGTGGTTCTTGTTCTGTGTGTGTAGACTGTGGCGTGGTTCTTGTTCTGTGTGTGTAGACTGTGACGTGGTTCTTGTTCTGTGTGTGTGTAGACTGTGGCGTGGTTCTTGTTCTGTGTGTGTAGACTGTGGCGTGGTTCGTGTTCTGTGTGTGTAGACTGTGGAGTGGTTCGTGTTCTGTGTGTGTAGACTGTGGCGTGGTTCTTGTTCTGTGTGTGTAGACTGTGGCGTGGTTCTTGTTCTGTGTGTGTAGACTGTGGCGTGGTTCTTGTTCTGTGTGTGTAGACTGTGGCGTGGTTCGTGTTCTGTGTGTGTAGACTGTGGCGTGGTTCGTGTTCTGTGTGTGTAGACTGTGACGTGGTTCTTGTTCTGTGTGTGTGTAGACTGTGACGTGGTTCTTGTTCTGTGTGTGTGTAGACTGTGGCATGGTTCGTGTTCTGTGTGTGTAGACTGTGACGTGGTTCTTGTTCTGTGTGTGTAGACTGTGACGTGGTTCGTGTTCTGTGTACTCGCTGTAGATTGTCACTGACAGTTTCCAATACCTAACCGCAGTACTGCATCGTGCCACGGTATAACATTACTGTAATAATGTTATATTGCACAGGAGTGTGGTGTATTGTTTTAGCATGCTGCACGTGTAAGTAGTGGTGTGTCACATTATCTACAGCCATGCTCAATCCACTGCTGAATGAACGACTTCTTCTCAAGCCTGTCCCGAGCCTGCTATGTGCAATGTGTATACTGTTACAATATCAACAGTACTGAGGACTGCATTTACACAATACAGTTGTTTGATATAGTACACTGTGATCAAATACATTACCGCACTATGCTACATTGTAGAACATTATCACATTGTATACACATTAAACAATTGTACTGTATTGAATAAATATATACGTACCGTCATTTGTTAGCGATGTACTGTGTACAATACAATTCGCTCCAATTAATATACAACATCGAATTATATTGTTGTGACATGTAGGGGCAGTGTTTGCTGCATGTGATGACCATATCCCTACCCCACGGGGCTCACTGCATGGCAAGAGACGAGCAGCTGCTGCATTGGTCGTTATACTCCAATGTGTCATGTCCACCTGCAATCTTTATTTTTGATGTAACTCGTTATGCTTTTCTGTAAAGTATTATAGGTAACATCGTGTCTGAGCAGAACTCCTTTCTGTCTCCGCGTACAAATCAGTCGTTCGTTGTGTCCGTCGGCCTGTTTGTTGGCTTTTCCAAACAGATATCCAGCGGTTAGGATTTATTTTAAAAGCCAGAAAAAACACAGGTTTTGATCTTCCGGGTCTCATCGGCAGACTTAAGGCTCGTTCAACAATGCTGTTGGGTTGCCAGATGTTATTGGCAAGAACCAAAAAACATTCCAATCTAAACGATAGCTCGGCTGTTATTCTGAAGCCCACGACTGGATAGGAGGATGGGAATGGATGGCTGTGACGGTCCCACCTGATGACGGAGACTTGTGTTGCCTCCGAAACGTCGTGATTTTTATTATTTTATTTTTATTAATTTTAATTTCATTTTTTACCTACGTGACTTTACCGAACAAACTAAGAGTATGATGGGAATGGAAGCCAATGGGGTGCAGGGTTGAGGGATGTGCAAGAGGGCTTCTGCTCAGCAGTGGGAAATTACAGAGTGACAACATGTTTTAAGGTATGCATGTGAGTGTTCTGCTGTATAGATTATCTGCAGTGTATGTAAACCTCACAGCCCATGTGTAATCGTGTAAGAGTGCATTACGCCACTGCATTAGTTTCCCGCAGATTGTGTTTCCACGCTTTCTGGTGTCGTACTCCGCTGTGTAAGGGGAGCCAGTGATTTCTGTAACAGGCAGAAGTGACATATAGTGTCAGTGCAGTTATTTAATAAAAGAGCGTTTTGATATTATCCGTCTCCAGAAACAAGATCAAGTGGAAATGCATGTTACATTAATGGAGCATGTTAACTCTGACGAATGACACGCAATAGCACGGCTCGGTTACGCTAACACATTGGCAAAATGGCATGGCCTCGTTCAGTGTATACTAAGGTAATGGCTGTTCGATGGAGGTTTGGGTTTCCTCAGGGTTTTATTTTGCACGGTTTTGAAACATTGTATCATTTTAAAGGGGACGGAGTGGTGGCAGAGTAGTTGTGCGTATTGAACAGTGAACCCGGCCGATCACCTGAGTTTTATTCCCAGTTAATGGCTAACATCAGTGGAGAGCAATACCTCAACTGGTCCTGGGTGGCCCCCGCTTCACCAACCCGCACAAGCCAGTAGGTTAAAGCATGGTCAAGGAATCCCCAAGCCCCAGGCCTTCACCCTTTAGTGGATTGAGAATGGCTGGAATTGATTTATTTCAGAGATCAAAAAAAATACAGCACTGAAATGCCACTCAAATGGTTCCACAATCAGTAAACTTTCGTGTTAAGAACTCGCACAAGTCATGTTACAGCCAAAAACAGTAACCAGATTTACATTACCGTACGTATTCATAGTACATGCTGGAATTGGTTGCAAGTAGGTTGCCTCTACTCACACGCAGCCCACAGTGTGTGGAGAATTTCATTATAACTTTCAACGTAATGGAGTTATGCTCGGCTTGAGATCAAGGTAGATGAAAACGGCTTGTATTGTGTTAAAACGTGGCCAAGTCACCTGTTGAATGGGCGGCACTTGGTAGAAATATAACAGCGGTCCTGCTGGCATTGCCTACAGACACTACAGAAGCCCTCTTCACACCTTGGGTTGTGGAACCACAGAAGGCCTCTTGAAAGGCCATGCACCTGGGCAAATGCCACACACAGGGATTCATCTTCTTGGTTCTTTCGGTAAAGTCACGTAGAAGGGAAGTAATAAAATAATAAAAATAAAACATAATAAAATAATTCTCACGACGTTTCGGCCACAACGCCGGCTGCTTGCGTTGTGGCCGAAACGTCGTGAGAATTATTTTATTATGTTTTATTTTTATTACTTTATTACTTCCCTTTTACGTGACTTTACCGAAAGAACCAAGAAGATGAATCCCTGCAGTCACGAAAGCTTTAAATCGAAACACACATGGATGTTGAGGCATTCTATCCACTCTCTGCTCCGCTTACTTGTTTTACTTAGAACATGAAATATAAGGGTGTGCTGTGGGCTCGTCATCGCTAGGTGGGTGAGAAAAGAGATGCAAAAAGTACTCGCCTTGAAAGTCAGATCGGCTGCCTGACCATCAGAGGTGGTTCTGGGTCATTGGGGGCCCTAAGCAGGAATTATTTGTTTATTGCCTCCTTAAAAAAATTTAAATATTCGTGGAGTTACAGAAGAGGTACAGGCAAGAAATATGCTGTGGATCGAGTGAATTAAGAGAAATGTAGACAAATACAGATAAGAGAGATGACAGCAAGATAGAGATGAGAAATATTGTCTCATTCTGTAACTTAGCTTGTTGTCTTATGATGTGCATTTGAGATAATATTTAACGCACTCCTTTTATCACGAATCCAGGACCTCTCAACCCGCTTGGTGACCCGAAGCTTTGTCTTGATTCGCTTAGGCCTGGCGGCGCCAACTGCTGACGTGACAATTACTAAAAGCTCGCCGTCCTTCCCCACCAGACGCAGGCGATGGGCTCGGAGCGGGTGGAATCACGGCGGTGGCCGGCCTCGCAAGGCGACGGCTCGCCTGGGGGAGTGCGCTCCCCAGGCCCGCGTGCGCCCAACGCCTGCTGCTTCTGCTGGTGCTGCTGCTGCAGCTGCTCATGGTACGTCCTCCGGTCTCTTTGGTTCGAAATCCGCCGCCTGCGTGACAGGTAACTACCCTTCCCCCCCCCCCCCCAAAAACACCCAACCTCTCCGTCCCCACTCACACTTCCATCCTCGCTCACACGTCCATCCCATACAAAGTCTGTTGTCCACTATCCCACTCACCAGCACCACCATCCTGAGTTTGGGGAGGCTGCTGTCTGCTCTTATTTAACACAAGCACTTGATGTGAATTAGGATACCTCTTTTCCTCTGTACAAGCGATCCTCGCTGGGGCCATGCCGAGCTAGCCTGGCACGGCTCAGCAGGCACAAGGTTGATATTCCAGTGCACAAGCCATGGCCATGCTGTAACGGCAACGAAATTAACACGTCATTAACCCTGACCCAGCTTGACCCCGGTCCAGATTCATGTCTTGTAAGGCGAGCGCATCGCTCTTTTGTTCTGAAAAGACTCGGCAAATAACGAGTAGAAAACCACGCGCGCCATTAGGGTCCAGTGCTGTCTCAGCTCGGATGTACCCGTTGGACAGGGGGGGGGGGGATTCCACGTGTAAATGGTAACTTTTGCATCCATTCTTAGGGTACATAAATAAGTCAACTGTGTGGACAATTAACCTCAAACCAAATCACCCAGAATGTACCCGATCTCTGAAGCTATGCAGGCATAAGCCTGGATCGTACTTGTATGAGTGATCATGCATAACACATTGAATAGACCGTGGGACTACATTATGGGCAGCAGAGAACAGTGCAAGAGAATAAATTGTTGGACTGTGCTTCTATGGTCCCATTTATATCATCTCCCCACCTTCACCAATCCACACTGACCAGTATAAATTATGGTTTAACAACTCCCACAGTGTGTGGAGGCCTTCATCTTGCAGTGGACAGAGCACTATGTGTACATTTGGAAAACTATCAAACTTAGAGCAGACACCAGCATCTTTCTGAAATGCACTCAAGCCTTTCCCACAACCCCCTTATTACTCATGCTCTCACTCACTCGCCCATCCGCTCACCATCTCGCATGTCCCCTGGGCAAGGGCCTTGGAGAAATAATGCATCAAATAGTTTTCTGATCTCCATGCTGCCATTTCCTTTGTTTTAAAGGCATGGTAAACCACACCCCAGAATGTTTTTTTAAAATGTATTTTTAAGAACCAAACATAGTTCTTACTTGTCGTAAACACATTATTTTCATGTTTATAAGCTGGCACATTATTTAGAAACACAAACACAAATGAAGGGAATGTGGTATATCTTCAGTGGCTTATTTTAGTTCCTGCTAAAAGATTGTGGCACTATTTTTGGCTCCGCTGGGTAAATATAAGTACAACACTTGACTCACTCTGCCCACCCAGGAAGTCGGTGAATTGGCTCTATGCTTGTTGTTTAGAGCCAAGGTGTGGGAGATGGGGATACGACTTATATGGAACCAGTGCCGCACGGGAATAGATTTTTCACACTCGTGCATTTATTTTTCACACTCGTGCATTCGATGCAACCGTTTTAAACTAAAAACCGTAAATGGGTAAATGCACGCGCTCATAGTTTCGTCATAAACGTGATGTGATGTTCTCCTTACAGTCATATCTCGAATTAAGTTTTACATCGTGTGCTCGTTCTTTACATTTCGCCATTTTACAGCAACGAAACTAATTTGGATAATTATTATTACTACTATGATAAGGGAATGATTACAATGATTTCTGGAGTGTTTTAAAATGGTGAAGTCATCCCTGAAATATTGTACACCTTAGAGCATGCCGTGAATGTAAACTGTGCCATGGAGTTGTAACTCATCTTGCTTAAAAAGGTCAGAGTCAAACACCGGCCCGAGAATGAAGTATTTTGTTAAAAGGCTGCAGGGGACAAAATTCGCTGCAGCCTTTTTGGTTTGCGTTGCAAACAGGCAAATAGCAAAATGGAAAAAAAAACACAATTTTCCTTTTGTTTGTAGTAATATAATCACCCTGCAATTAAACCTTGCTGCTGCATCTCCACCGTTGAAGACGCCTAACACACGTGTAAGAAATAATGTATTCCCAAAGCATGACACTTATTACTACTCAGTGCTCGTTTGCTTGATTCTAAATGATACGGAGGAACGTGGAGGTTTGTATATATGCATTGAAGTTTATTAACTATTGAAAGAAAATAGTCCCATCTATTTTGAAGATGTTTACATTAGCTGGTGTCTCCTGGGGCTACGAATGGGCTACAATTTGATTAAAGATGTATTTGTTGCAGTGTGCTATTTTTTAAAGAATACTTATACTGCAGTATGCATTTATTTATATATATGGTAATTACTGTAGGTGTGTTCGTAAAATCAAACAGTGAAAAGTAAAAAAAAACAGGATCAAACGGAACATTTTTGAATGCTTTCCAGCTTTTGACTATAAATTGCCCTTTCTGATAAAAAAATTATCCTACTGTTCAAAAAACTGGAAACTTACTAATGCATGATGTTACGATTAATGACAAATGGCTGAAAGCTGATAATACAAACCAAAACATTTAAAAACCTGAATGTGTAATTTATAACCAAATAATATTCACCAAATTGTGATGACCCAAAATGTTGGACACTGAGTCTGCAGCCTTTCCCTTTCCAGCCTGACGGTTAGAAACCATGAAGGGGCGGGCAGTAGAAGACGCTCATCACACGAGAGTAAACTGGAAAGCATTCAAAGCCCCGAAGAGAGGTAAGTTCAGGCTGCGTGCAGTCAGCAAACTGTAAAACCCAGCCCAATGTGAACATAACTCAAAGTAATTATGAGCGTCGTGTTGTAGAATATAAATAACAAAATAAATAAGCAGACAAAATGGTTCCACATATCCTTCTCTCCATAACCCTATCAAATATATATTTTTTTTATCTCACCAGGTAAGTCCCACTGGGCTATTTAGCTCTTTTTCAAAAGCGACCTGCCCACAAATGATAGCTCAATAAAGTGGCTTATCACGTGGAAATTTATAGCAGCCAAATACTCTAAACGCATGTTTCTAAAACTGGAGGGAAAAAAACAGAGGACCCGGAGAAAAATCCACATGACCACAGGGAGAACATGGAAACTCCAGATATACAGGCGTCAGGGTCGGGATCGAACCCACGACCTCCTGTTTACCAGGCGAGGTAGTTAACATCTCGCCACCGTGGCGACCCATTAGCCGCATGGCCTTCTGGGAGTGCATAATTTCAGCAGTATTGTTTCAAGACAAGCAAACTCTGCTCCTGTTTCGACATACAGTATCTCATCAGCAGCCATCTCATTGCTTAAATCAATGCTGTTGAATTGCCAATCTACAGGCATGGGACGATAAGGCGGTGCGTTTTTTTGCCACGTGACTTGGCTCTTCCTGCGCAGCTCCCGAGTGACAATGTGCAGGCATCGGTAAATGCATGGTTTAAGACGAGCATTGCAATCAGGGAATGAGGCTTCCTGTGCTAGTTGAGCATATCGTTGTGAACAGGACACTTTTGTCATTTTAGCAAATAAAAAAAAATGGAGTTTAAAGATTGTCATTGTATTACAACTTGGCAGCAAGATGGTCCTCTTGGCATGCGCGCTGCCCAAACTGTAAAGTGGCTACGTTTACACATAACACGAATTAACCGTCCGTGATGTGGTGCTTTGACAAAGAATGTACAATTGTATATCCATATTTTACGTAGTATTTATGTTTCAAATGTGCATATGGTTACCACTGTAATGTTGTATCATTATACAAATCTGTATGCTCCCGCATCCAACCAGCCATCCCCCATACTCGTGGCACATATATAGCAGTGGGCCAAGAAGTGGGGCAATTTGTGTCTTAAACTGTGATCCAACTCGTTTCTAATTCGTAGATATTATCTTCTTATCTCGCTCTCCAGTGTGTTTTCGGTTTATACAACGTGTTGTTCGGCTTCTTCAGGAACTGACATCGTGCCGAAAAGCACGCGTCACAATAAAAAAAAAACACTGCAGAGCTATACCACACAGCAACAAGAACCTACGCTGTAGCATTATCCTTCCTACCTCTTTGCATGGCTTATGTAGGAGTAACAATGATATCTTCAGTTGCGAGTTTTAGCCATTCACTTTCATTGTCTGAGAGTCAGCCAATGTCTTTCGTACGTGAAGGTAACACGTATTTCTCACAGCAGCGCTATGTCATAGATTATTTCCACATCAAAGCTTTGTGAAATTAAAGTTGTGGTGAGTGGGGGGGGAAGAAATGCTGACTGGAGCTCTGTGTGGTTGTGCGTTCATGCCGGGGACCTGCAGTGGAAAGCTGTCGCTGGAGGAGGTCACATCGTGGAACCAGTGTTTTGAACGACTCATGCACAGTGCAGCGGGGCGTGCCGTGTTCAGAGAGTTTCTCCGAACGGAGTTCAGCGAGGAGAACCTGCTCTTCTGGCTCGCCTGTGAAGACCTCAAGAAGGAGGAGAACAAGAACGTTGTAGAGGAGAAGGCCAGGACAATATACGAAGACTACATTTCCATCCTCTCGCCCAAAGAGGTGAGCCACTGCCCCTGGCCTTTGCACCTCGTTTTTCACAACCCTGGCGAATGGAGGTTTTGTGCTCTCTGACGTGTTTTTGAGCCGCGCCGCGTGTTGTGATGTCCGTCATTTGGTTTCACCTTGCCGGGACCAGCTCCTTTACTCCCTCTGTTTGCATGGCGTTGAGAGATTCGGCACGATGTCAATTGAATCCCTTAATAGTTACCCTTCGTCGCCCCAAATAATCACATAGCTACATGCAGGTTTCCCTCGCTTTTATGCGTGTTCGGTTGGTGCGATTTTGCGCTGTATATGCGGCCAGCCTATTTCTACCCAAAATTCGCTACTTGCCGTTCGAACTCGCTCATGTGCGGACGTGGGACACACTTTGTGCACTAAACACGCGACAAGGCAGGCAGCCGTCTTGTGCGGTTTCGCCTTGTGCGCTGTTTTTCTTGGAACGCATCTACTACTCACACATAGAGCGAGGAAAACCCGCATTTGAAGAGATTGTAGGATATATAAACCTGCCCAATTCAGTTCTTGGAAAAGCTACCAGCTTATGGAGTGATGACGGACATCGTGTGGCACAGCCTAAAACACGTTGGAGAGCTGTCCAGCACAACCGTGAAAACATACACAATGATAAAAAAAACATAGGCTTTCCGCTTTTTGGCAAGAATACAGATGTTAAGATGTTCAAACACCAATTAGACACCTATCACAAGGCATCAAGTCTGGATCTAACAACACATGCTCGTGGTAAAACGTGCCAAAACGGGAACGGCACAAGGACAATGAGACACTGGTGAGAGGGGGCCATAACGGAGGCTGTCTCTGGCTAGGCTAATCAGTTTCAAGGACAGTGCATACATTTTTTAAGCATGTTTGTTTGCAAACACTTTCCCACGCAGAGGGAGGAAAGTGTTTCCCAATACTGTGTGGATCAGAGGTCACTTGAAGGAATCCCAGATGTAGCTCTGTGCTATCCACTTCTGCGTGCCACGTCAACTCTTTAACACGATCTGCACTGCTCTGCGAAGACATCCAAATGGCTTCTCCGTCTCATGACACGCATCCAATGGCACATGTTTGTTTAAAAACTGGGAAAACAAAAATAATACATCGTAAAAAAAAATGTTTCAATGGACAGATCGTTACCCCGAGGAATACATTTAGGTGAAGTGCTGCGTGTGTGCGTGCGGGTTGCAGGTCAGCCTGGACTCGCGGGTGCGAGAGGTCATCAACAGGAACATGGTGGAGCCCTCGGCGCACACGTTCGACGACGCACAACTGCAGATCTACACGCTCATGCACCGAGACTCGTACCCGCGCTTCCTCGGCTCGTCCGTCTACTCGGCGCTCTTGCAGAGTCTCTCCAGCTCTTCCTCCAACACATAGCACGTGGCCTGCGTCAGCACTTCATCAGCCGCCGTCGTCGTCGTCGTCGTCACGAGAGATGTATTTGCCTGCCTACTTGGCGTCTACCACAAACTTACCCGAGGTCTTTGGGACCTGTTTGTACCTCAGTTTGGACTCGATGTTGATGCTTCACTTCGTAGGGTTTTTTTTTTTGGAATGATCACAGATTTTTATGAATATCTCTAACTTGGGCACTTGTAGAACTTGTAAACAGTGTGGAGAACTTTTGTGCGTTGCATAAGAAAAGAAAACGACACCTTCCAATCATTTACACTTTGTTTTTCATCCACATGTTTTTCTTTTTTACGTGGATTTTTTGAGGCATCTTGCAATATGAAAATAATGTTCAAGACAATTACTTGCTTGGCCTATACAAACTGTCCAACATTTTAAACTTTTTAACATTTAGATTATCAAGGGGGCCTTAGACAGGTTATGTACATAGTTGGACAGAAAGTCTGTCTTGTTATTTGCTGTTGCCAGTTTACTAAATGTATGTATGGCACAATTCATTTGCACCATATAATACTTGAGGGTGATGTATCAGTTACTTACATGATTAATAGTCTTTATATTTAAATAAGCGGTCCACATTATCACGTAATAATAATGTAACACACACACTTGCTTCTATACAGTATTTTGAATTGCCAATTTAAGCTTTATTTTAGCCACTATTGTCGACTTGTGTTTTGTGGGGTTTTTTTGTACTTGATCTGAAAAATCCAGGTCTTATTTATTTCGAAGTTCTTGAACAAGTTATTTGTGTTTCAAGAAAATGTTGAACACGTAGGCTGAGTGACCAGTTGATTAAACTGCTGCCATTTTGCTTGGGCTTTAAGAGTGCCTGATGACACCCCCCTCACTTCATGCATTGCCAATAAATAAGAAAAAAATGATATTTTCAAAGTTCAGTTTTTATTTTATGTAGTGTGCTAAAATGAGCCAAAACAAAAAAAAATGTTGTTACAAAATGGAATGTTTAAACATGTCGAATATTGGCGTTTTCCTTTTATGAAGATTTTTTTTAAACGGTTACTGTGAAATGTTATTTATATGAGTACTGGTCTACGGTAAAATAGTATCTGTCAATGTGCTGTGGTATGTATGCCTTTTTAAATGTAAGTAACGAGACAGCTGCTAGGATTGGGAACCCATTGGAACCCCACACTACAAGTACAAACTCATAAAGCTTGAAAGCAATTGCTATTGAAATAGGGGGCAATGCCCCCCCCCCCCCCCCCCCCCCCCCCCCACCGTTATTTGTGGTGCCCCATTAATTGGCCTCACATCTCGGGCTAACACGACGAGGGCTATACATGCTCGGTAACCCTGGAATAAGGTGGGGCTCCCCTTACGATGTGGCGTTGTACCTTCTTACAGGACATGCCACATCAGGCTGGGTCCTCTAATTTGTGGTTGCGTACTGGTGTTTTTAGGTACTGCCTTTAGGTTCGCGTATATACGCGAATATTTTCATTGTGCATTGAAGACGTATTGGTGCTGAGAAAATGACTAAATTGTAACTCCAGTCAACATGGTGTAGGGTTCCAAATAGCTCCCAAATAGTACCTCTTTTTTACCACACTAGCTGCTTTACAATCCGCCATGTTTTCATATTTGCAATGTAAATCAAAGCACAACAAATACGACAAACACTTTGTGCAATGTGCAAAAATGTAAAATTATGTTTTCCATTGGAATGCCCAAAGACACAAACTACTAAAATGACCCTTCTATGTCCACGAGACACAGGCAACTAATTTACATTTCAGGCGAACCCCAAAAGCAAATTGCATGCATTTCAACGTGTTGTATTTTTGTGCATTTTATGTGCGCTTGTTTGCGATTTGTTTGTGTTGTTAGGTTGCATTTATTAATGACAATCCAATCGTGCCCATTGCGGTAAATGGGTCATCAGCATCAGAGTATTGAATGCTCTCTGAACCAGAACAGTGGCACTAAGCATGTTCTATTTATTTTTATTGCAAGCAATTACACGTATTTATGTTCTGTATATTTTTGTTAAAATACAGTTTAAATGAATATCACTCTGTGTGCCTGTGGGGTTTTACAAAAATCGCATTTTTCAGACGTTTAATCTCCACTTTGCTTGATTTTTTTATCACGGTTGATGAGTTTGGGCACGAAGGCCAAAAACGCCGAGTGGCCATCAACAAACAGCACTATTGAAGGTGCAACAGACAGGCGTTGTAACGTTGCTTGAGGACCAGTGGCATAAGTGCTCGATGGAAACAATATATTTTTATTTAAAGCTTTCGTGACTGCAGGGATTCATATTCTTGGTTCTTTCGGTAAAGTCACGTAGAAGGGAAATAATAAAATACTATAAATATAAAACAATCAAAATTCTCACGACGTTTCGACTGCTTGTGTTGCAGTCGAAACGTCGTGAGAATTTTTTGGTTTTATATTTGTTATTTCCCTTCTACGTGACTTTTTCCCGAAAGAACCATGAATATGGAAACAATATTTTTAAGTAAAATTCTCGAACGCAGACTAACAAAAGTGTTTTTACATGGAAAGTACAACTGCCTCCAGAATAAACCGTCAAAGCCTAGTTGACAACCTGTGGATTGTAATATTGCTGTATATCTCACTGAATCATACTCTTTAGACCAGTTCACTAACCCAGTAAAAAAATCTAGTCCCCTCTTGGCTATTAAATGGTGGCATGAGGGCCGTGCAATACCCACCCCATTCCCCCAATTTTAGGTCGGCCAATGAGTGAACTCGGTAAATGATTATATATATACTGTATAGCTAATGACCATGTTTGGTCTTCCCTCGTGCAATGCCGTCTCTCATAACAAATTAGCGTCGTCTGCATCTTTATTCAGTCTCTACAGCACTGTAGGCAATTCCGTTTCGTCATCGCCATGCTTTGGGGTCTGGTGGAGCGTCGTAATCATCATCATCGTGCTTGAACACTTCATCCACCCATAGTTACAGTTGACTGAAATAAATATAAAACCCCCCTTTTTTTGTGCCAAATATATCTTGAGCACTAAATTCGCGGACGAGCTTCACGCCGCTTTCGAGCGGAATGCTCGGGTATGGCGAAGTTTGTTGCAGCGATGCCCACTTCCAGGGTTTGCAGTGGGAACCTCACACCAGAGTTCGCAACCGGGTACCCGATACCCGTACCCTAGCCGTTACCCGGCTACCCGTTTGCGACCCTGGTGCGGCCGGGTACGGGTAGACCGTGAGTCACTGGTGAGTCACCGTTTGTCACTCATTTCCCAACGTCTTGTCTCTTCTCACAATTCAAGTTCCTAGAATCAACCCACCCGCGCCTGCAACATGGCTTCATCCCAGAGGTCGCAATCAGGTACCCGATACCCATACCCTACCCGTACCCGGCCGGGTACGGGTAAGGAATCAAAACCCGTTTGAGACCTCTGCCTCACACCCTCGCGACCTCCACACTTGATGGGGATGCTGCCATAGCGCCAGCGAGCCCGGCCAATAAGAACATCCACATTGTTTCCCTTCATCGTTTTTTTTTTAAATAAGTTCGGCATTAAAACAGGGTGCCGAAGTAAAGGTTGGACGGGGCGTGATGTGAATTGGTTATCGAGTAAAACAACAAAGAAGGTAATGGGATGTTGTAAAAGTTTTGGCCCATGTTGGAAGGTTTAAAGTGTTTTTTTTTTAGAGTAAGTGACATCTCAGCTGAGTCTCGCTATGTGAAGCGAATTTTTCCGTGTTGTCTTAAAGTTGCACTTACTCAAGTGGATGTCCATTCCTTTTTTATGAACCACCGTACAAGACTCGCAGTCTTTCCATAAAACAACGCAAGTCAACGCATCGCTCGCACCACAAGTGCAATATAAAAAGGAAAAGGCAGACACATTGGGGTCACCAGCTCATGATTTATCATTTACTTAAGGTTTAAAATAATTCCAATGAAATTTAACATGACAATTAGAATTAAGCTGACTTTATAAAACAAAAATCTATGCCATTTTTTCTTTAAATATATAAACCATTTTTAAACATTCCTTTGTCTTGTTTAAAAGCATTTAAGGCAAGAGAAGTTAGAAGTATTTTTTCATAAAAACTGAAGTGCTTGAATCTTCTTTAGCAGAACTGGGGAAATAGAGGATATGAGTAAATACAGAAAATAAACTGACATCTTACGTGGCATATTTTAGTAAGCGTGCATCACACAACACCTAGAAAGCACAGTGTTGGTTAGAAATAGTTAGAAATGCCTGCATGCGTGTGTGTGTGTGTGGACATGTGCAACTGGAAAACGTATGCATGCTCTCGATTCTCAACAACAAAGAACACGTGACAATTAAGCTAAGGGCGACTGTTTCGTCTGCTTCAATTGCAGCCAACCAAGGTCAGTAATTAGTTCCTGCTTACTATATCCATGAGCATGACAACTGCTGCCGGGGTTTGTCATCACAGTGAGATGCAAACACCCAAAACTACGTTGCGTAAAGGTACAGTGGCTTATGAGTTTCATTCGCTAAGATTAATATCCTAACGTTAAAACCACAAGGTTTTTGTTTTGTTATTAAAATACAACTATTAATGATCTGGTCAATTCAATGTTAACTTAGTTAATCTGACAGAAAACCTTAGGGTGGCAGGTGCCCTGATTGTATCAATAAAATTAGTACCACCTCTTGAGCAAATGTACCGAATATACAAGACAAATTGACGTGCAAATTTGGTAGTTTTTGACAAAGTCCGAAAAAAAGGTTTTTAAAAAACAATTGGATGTTAGAGTTACATGAGCCATTGGTGAAAAGCATAACATTCCCAGAGGGTGTTTATTTTAAAAAAATATAAAGCATTCAACTGTTCGTGTGCGAGAGGAAGGCATCAAGGGATTGTGCAAAGTGTGGTGAATGGGAGTTTGAAAAGTTCTTCTGTTCTTTGCCTGTACAACTATAATCGGCACACGTTAGCAGTGGTAAAGTATGCCAAGGAATAGTCTACTACGTGAGGTTTCAATAGAAGCAGCAGCACGTGAATGGGCACCCTACGATAACTCTGCATTGTTGCGGTGTCTGTGTGAGTAGCAACTATGAACACCGTGGCAAAACTTGCCTTCCATCGGTTCCCGCACTCGTTGCAAAACACGAACGTGGTCATGGGCTCATCTGCGCTTCGGGTCTGCACCTGAAATACGACAGAAAAACCGACAACGCGACAATTCACGATACCGGCTGCGTAAGTCACCGCTGTTGTTCTGTATAGCTCTCCGAGAAAAAAAGCGGGCTGCTCCAATTGGTTCCTGGAGAAGCTCCCAGCATGTGGAGTGAAACGTCTGACATTGTGTCGAACAATATGCGGTACGAGCCATTCACAATTCCTATTTGCAAGTGCTGCACTTGCTGTGCATCAGATGCAAGTGGAAACAAGGTGGTAACTTTTCACGAATGGTGAACACCGGTTAATGTACTGCGCTGTGAACCAGGCCACCCAAGTTCGATTCCTGGCCATGGATAGTTGTACATGATACATGGACCGGTCCTATGCTCTATTAGGTTTACTCAACCTTAACACAATTGCACAATGCGGTATGTAACTCATAGTTCTGGCCACACCACCGATTCGCACGCCATCCTGGGCCCAAACAGATGCTCGGTTGCATGACGAGGAGCATAAAACATCACGTGAACTTGCGGTCGTGATCGCAGCGGCTTTTGGCTGGCCATCGAACAAAGACGGTCACTTCATCACGCACTTTCAGATGTGCTTCTGCGGCCGTCTGGAACGCTGTTACAATATTAGGAAGCAACTGGAGCTATGCACTTTTAAATCTATATTGAACTAATTTTTTTCATTTAGTTTGTTGTCCTTCCCCCGCACCTCCGATTAGCACGGTTGGCTACGTAAGGTGCGAAAGAAGTTCTACATACGTACACGTGTACATTGAGGGACAGGACACCGCTGAAGAACAAGTGGCCACTCACTTGAGTGTAGGTGCATCTTTTCTTCTTGCATTTTCCGCAGCTGAACAGGTCGGTCTCCGTGCCGCCCGTCTTGGCCATCTGGTGCGCACGGATGGCTTCCTCCGTCATGGCCTTGCGCTTTTCCCTCAGCTCGTCACTTGCCATCTCCTGCGAATACAAAGGCCAAGCCAAGTTGAAGTCAATGGGAAGCGAGAGCATCGCCACAAAGAGGAAGGGAACGGGTGGCCGGTGGTGGCGAATTGCCCGATGATGCTGGATGCAATTACCAACGAAACGTCGTACTACTCAA